GCAAGAATCAGATAGAGAATGACGGAATGTACTTCTTGGACGTGTTTCTCGTTTCTTTCGTCTTGACTGTGCTTCCGAGGCCGATCGTGACCGCGAGACAGAGAATCGCCGATCAAATCGGAGAATGGGGATTTGCATTCTTCAAAGGGATTTGTACCGTAGCTATCTTCACTCTGTTTCACTGGTTAGGTGAAAAGCTGCTTGCTGATAAAGATATCTTCGTAGCACTCTCGTGTATCTTCTTCTTTGTACATCTCCGAGTAATTCATGAGATTACCGATGACTTCGGGATCGCACAAGGGTTTCTAATCGCCGGTTACACAGTTCTCATCGCCGAGTCCCCAAACCTCCCTCACATTATAGGGTTTAGTGCTGCTTTTACCGTCCTCTTAGCCATTGTGAATACTCCCCAGCCACCGTATCAACCACCGTACCAAGAAATTGAGATGGATGAGGCCGAGCAACCACCGAATTCTGACGATGAATATGACGACGCTCCAGAGCAACTTGCAAATCCGCCGGAGGATCTTGAAGTCGGACACGAAGGGCCGGTGATTCCGGCAATGGCGATTCCACTGCAAGCCAAAGGAAAGTGGGCCGAAGCCCAAAATTCGAAGTGGAAGTTTGCCCATACTACTGAAACAAGATGTAAACTGATTTAGGCCCATTAACCCATACTACAGATGTAAAACGTTGATATGATAATTACCACACTCTTTTTTTTTTTTTTTCTCAATTGTACATGAGGCATTATGAATATAAAACGTATTTTCTTTTCGTAAATATAATTTCAGTTTCACTCTATTTTTTTTACAATTTTAATAATGAAGAAAAAATCATCTATGTTCAGAAATGTTGATTTTTAATTAAAGAAAAATATTGAAGATTTTAGGGGAAAAAATTGAATGAACGATGATGTATAAATATAAAATTGGTCAAATTAATTTAAAACCGTAAAATATTTAGTTCTGCGATTTGTAACTAAACCAAACCAAACCGATTTGTTTAAAACATGTTAACACTTAATACAAATGGTTATCTATTATTCTCTCTATTGCAGAAGTCACGCTGTAGCTCATTGGTTAAATTCACAGAAAATGCTGTCCTTCTTCAAGATAGATTCCCGCCAGTGTAGATTTGGTATTTTGTATCCTTTTTTATTTTTCCAAAAAGAAATTGAAACGTCAACGTTTTCTCCCTAAAATAAACGGCACGAAAGTCTTTGCTAAGTAATTGATTGCCATTTCAAAAGTCTTCTCATCTTTACTCTTAGATTGTTTTGGCAACTCTATAATTTGGGATGTCTGTTTTATGTTGATCACCATCTCATTAAAATATATGTAACCGAAGCCTTTCTCTATTATTGCCCCACCTTAGAAACACGCACGCTCATGTTAATTAGCAAATTGCGTCATGGTCAAAGTATGGAATCTCACAATCTTGTAATACAATGAAAAGTTGGCGTTCTTGTGACATGAAACCAACAAAATGGAGTTTTGGTGTGCAATGATCTCCTTGAATATGCGTGGAGTAGACGAGATTGAAGGGGATTGAGTCGAGTGGTCTAATTGCCTACTTTACAACGTCCCTCTTCATTACAACATTACCCATGTCTTATGAATCAAACGCCGAGTTTGTTTCTTCTCTATTT